TCCGCTTCGTTCTCTGGTCGTATTGCCGCTTTATAGCTGAGGCTTTAGGGCAGACGTCACATGGGCTTATTGTTGTTGCCACAACGGCCTTCAAGCATGCGCTGCCTTGTAATAGGTTGAGTTGCTGTTGGCAGATTCTCATGCACTGAGGCTGTGTATCAATGCTTGCATGCATGCATAAAGAAGCAATACCAACTGCCATCTAGCTGTCGACTTGCACAGGGGTCAAGAAGCACATACCAAGAGCCATACTTCCGTGAGTGGCAGCTCAAGAACAAGGCTGCTTTTGAGGAAGTTACCAAGGTGAGAAATAGTTGACGGTGACGTGTTAAGCACCCACCGCCATTTGGTCCATCAGGATCGATGCCTTTTCGAAGATCTCTCGTCCAACTTTGAATGCCTTGATCAAGAACCTCTTCAAGTTGTTGTTAGCACCTAGTTAGAGATGTCCCTTAGTTGACTTCTTGATGTTGGACACCAAGTTGGACACCAAGTTACAACCTCTTTTGCCATCTCGTAGGCCACCAGCATGGCGACAGGCTTTTCTCAGCCTCAAGGCATTTCCCCTGCTCAGGGGTTGAGCGTTGCGGACAAAGGCACCTCGCAGGCAAGTTTCCATCTTCGTTGTTCCACTTGGAACAATACAAGTTCCTATCAAGCTTTTTTTAAGAAGACCAAAGAAGGACTTGTAAGACTGCGGGGACAAGTTGGACTCTCCTATGTCCAGGTCTTTAGAGGGATCGATCGGGACGCTTAAGACAAGAGGGACTTGCTGCTATTTTCTTTCTTCCAAAGTCTCTGGGGACACTTGGGACTGCTGGGACATGTGACACACCTCGCCCGCTTGAAGAAGGAAGATGCCTTCTACGGCTTGTCCCGCGGGCTAAAGATGACAGCAGGGACGGCAGAGACTAAGAATACTCTTGCAGCTAGAGCCTCAATGCATTCTTCCTTCCTTACAGGACTATCAAACAGCTCCGCCGGGAACTACATCCAAAAACGAGACAGATAGGAGACTGTTGAAGGTCGGCCGGCGAGCGAAGCCCGAAGAGAGTCCAGAGGCAGAGGCGGGGGAGGACGACCTTGCGGACCTTAGTCAGGACATGCAAGCGGCGTCCCTGAAAGGGCCTCAAGAGAAGCGCCGCAGGGTTGTGCTCTCTCAATCCGAGGTTAGTCTGAAACTCTTCAGGTAGGGCATCATGAATGGCTGAGACACCCAGGACAGCAGGGCCGGGCAATCAGAGAATCAATGAAATGTCTCTATGTCCGTTCTGTAATCGTTTGCAGGATTGTCAACCTGGCGGCTCTTGGCTTAAGGAGAGACGTTGATAAACGTCCTTGTTCGGGGCTTTCTTTGTGCATCACATTCAGTGGCGCTACAAGTCAATCACAATGTGCAGCGCAGTAATTTTTACAGTATTCAAACATTCTCACTTTCTCGCACAATTTCCGAGAATTCGAAGGAGTCATGTGCTGCCGTTTTTGTGGCTGTCCTTCTCGGCGGACAGAATTGTTTTTTCAATCTCCAGTCTGATTACACAGCACTTGTGCTGGTGTTCTTCCAGCAAGCGCCTACAGCATACAGAAGGGCTTGTGATCGCACATCAATTTGTTGGCTCTTGCAGCATGAAAAGTTCGCTGTGCATTTTGCAGCGGTGGCAGCTCATTTCTACATGTCAGCATCAGCGGGGAGCCGGTCTATCAACGTTCTTGCATCTCGAGGGCTGTATTTTGGTGTTGATGGAGCTGATCCTCTGCATATTTAATGAGGGTTGTCAGCGGGATTTGTTGGAAGAACAGGGATGTCCATGGTTGTCCGCAGATCAAGGGCGTGTAGCTGGCTGAATGCTAATACGTCTGAAGGTCCTTGTATGAGGGATTCGAAATTGAGCAAACCGTCTATAAGGTGCACATTCGTTTTTTGTGACCAATTTATCCATCTTCATGGAGGGTACTGCGGACTGTTGGGACGGCCGAGACACACGCGATACTTCTATTCACACGCCATGCTTCCATTCTTACATCGTGAAAGTTGTCACCCCAGGCCGAGTGGAATACAAGCGAAGAAGGGAGTGACGCTGACAGCGGGGAGGACATTGAAGGGGCGGAGTTTGAGCCGCGTGAGGAGAAAAGCCAGGAGCCGACTTCCGAGGACGAAAGGATGATTGATGACACGCCTGCCGCCGGCTATGCCAATCCAGTCATGGAGTACGGCCAAGCCAATGCTGAGCTGTTTGAGAGCAGCCCATATGGGGCCCCTGCCTTTCATCGTGGAGACGTCCCCGTCGTCTCAGCAGCGGTGAGTTTTGTTCCTTAAGGAACTTCCCATTGATTTTCCTGTCTTACCCAGCTTGTCTAGTCAACCCTTACAGAAGCTCTGCGTTTTTTGCAGCACAAACCCTTATCACTTGAAGCCCCTTGATAGTCAAGGCACTTCCCTTGCTCAGGAGTTGAGCGTCGCGGATAAATGCAAGTCTATTTTTCGACCTAACAAACTACATTCTTATGAAGCTTCTTAGGATCAGTTTAGACTCTTAAGACGGTAGGGACAGGGTGGATTTTCCGATGTCTAGTTGTTTGGAGGGACCAGTCAGGACAGGAGTGACAGGTCGGACAGTTGGTATACCTTGCTGCTTATTTGTTTCTTCCAAAGCTCCTGCACTATGCTCAGGGGACACTTGGGACACTTGGGACTGCTGGGACATGTGTCGCTAGCATAGTCTCTATGGACACTTGAAACACCAAGGACACCAGGGACACCATAACGAACCCTCCAATTGGAAGGAAGATTCTACAGACTAAGTGCGATATGTACTTGAAGTTCGAACAGAAAGTTGCTTGGGACACATGGACATCTGGGACACCAAGGACATCAGGGACATCAGGGACACCAACGACACCATCGAGGATACGTTTGGCTGTGATTTCGAGACCCGCAGTTTTAGAAGCTTCCTGTGAGACACAATCTCGCCCCGCTTGAACATGCCTTCCGACTACGAGCTTGTCTTACAGGCTGAACATGACAGCAAGGACGGAAGAGACCAAGAATACTTTTGCAGTCAAAGCCTCAATGCATACTTTCTTTCTTACAGGACTATCAAACAGCTCCGCCAAGAACTACATCCAAAAACGAGACAGATAGGAGATCGTTGAAAGTCGGCCGGCGAGCGAAGCCCGAAGAGAGTCCAGGGGAGGCAGAGGCGGGGGAGGACGACCTCGCCGATCTCAGTCAGGACATGCAAGCAGCGTCTCTGAGAGGGCCGCAAGAGAAGCGCCGCAGGGTTGTGCTCTCTCAATCCGAGGTCAGTCTGAAACTCTTCAGGTAGGGCGTCGGGAATAGCAGAGACACCCAGGACAGCAGGGCCAGGCAATCAGAGAAGTGAAAATCAGCTCTCTGACTGTTCGGTTGTTGGGGGGTTGAACTCTGATTTGTGATTGTCTTCACAGGAGCTGCAAGCCAAGAACGAAAAACGTGTCCCACGTGTCCTAGGCGTCCGAAGTGTCCCAATCTCTAAATTCGACGACGGCGACGAGAACACACGCCGCACAGTTGGGGGGGGGCGTAGCGCCGCCTTGTCAGCTTACATTAGGTGCTCGCCAATTTCGTATTGCCGGTGTCTTCCATCTTCATCGAAGGCACTGCAGACAGTTGGGACAGCAGCGACACATGTGACACAATCACACACCATGCTTACATTCTCACATGGAAAAGCTGTCACCTTTCAGGCCGAGTCCGATACAAGTGAAACAGGGAGTGACGCTGACAGCGGGGAGGACATTGAAGGGGCGGAGTTTGAGCCACGTGAGGTGGAAAGCCAGGAGCCGAATTCTGAGGACGAAAGGATGATCGACAACGCGCCTGCCGCCGGCTGTGCCAATCCGATCATAGAATACGGCCAAGCCAATGCTGAGCTGTTTGAGGACAGCCCACATGGGGCCCCTGCCTTTCATCGTGGAGATATCCCCGTTGTCTCGACTGCGGTGGGTTTTGTTCCTTAAGGAACTTTCCCTTGACTTTCTTATCTTTCCCAGCTTGTCTAGTCAACCCTTGGTGAAGCAATGCGAATTTTGCAGCATAGAGCCTTATTACTTGAAGCCACTCTTGGTACAATCGGGGGAGGTTGCCAGCATTTCAACAAGAAGAAGCAAGCAAGCCGATTTTGCAGGTAAAACAACGGCCACGGCGATTCTCTAGCACCGAGCGCTTGTGCCAAAGTCTTTTGCAAAAGCTTGATTTTGCCTTTCAAAGAGCATGCGTTACTCCTCACAAGAAAAAGTGTCCCGATCGCATTTTATGTCTGGCTAGCATGCCCAAGATTCTGCTGTTTTCCTTGTAGGTTGACGATATGCTCTCAGGCCTTCCGCGGCAAGCGGGCACACCTGATCGGAATCCTTCCCCCACAACTCACCCCTTCGACACTGGGCATGTCTCAGCTCACCAGCTTGATGTTCAAACTTCCGAGGGTGATGTCCGGCAGGCAAGTTCTCTGCTTAAGCTTTAGCGGACGTGGAAGATCTGTGGACTTCGTGTGCATACCATCCGAGAGCTTTTCTTTGGTTTGTGCGGCGTTGTTTCTCATTCTCGTCAAAGCCAGAAATATGGGACACTTTGGACGCCTAGGACAGGTGGGACATGTTTTCTTTTCTGGCTTGCAACTCTGTCGAAGACAATCACGAATTTTACAGCCCTTGCATCTGCCCAGAATGAATGGCCATTCAAAAAAAGGACGGTCCTAATAAAGCTCTGGGACACTTCGGACGCCTGGGACAGGAGGGACATGTTTTCTTTTCTTGGCCCAGATTTGAACGGCCACAGAAGCTTGATTCTGCCTTTCGAAGAGCATCTGTTACTCCTCACAAGAAGTAGTGGCCCGGCCGCATTTTATGTCTATCTTGTGTGCCTAAGATTTTGATGTTTGCCTTGTAGGTTGGCGATATGCTCTTAGACCTTCCGCGGCAAGTGGGCACACCTGATCGGAATCCCTCCCCCACAACTCACCCCTTCGACACTGGAGCTCACCGGCTTGACGGACAAACTTCCGAGGGTGACATCCGAGAGGCAAGTTCTTGTTTTAAGCTTTAGCAGACGTGGAAGTTCTCCCCCTCGGAATCCGACTCCGAAGAGGAACCATCCGGATGCGGGTTCTTGGCGGTTGGATGGGTTCTCGGAGGGAGGCTCACAATCCATATCAAAGTTGGGTGAATATCAAATTACAAAACCCGGAAGTCCTCTATCTATCTGGTGGAGGACTTCCAATTTGAGGGTCATGGCCAGCGCGCCACCCCGGTCACCAGATCTGTGGACTTCGTGTGCATATTCATCCGAGAGCTTTCCTTGGTTTGTGCGGGTGTTTTTTCATTCTCGTCAAAGCCAGAAACTTGGGACACTTTGGACGCCTGGGATAGGTGGGACATGTCTTTTTTTAGGCCCAGAATATAACGGCCATTCAAGAAGCGGAGGGTTCTAATAAGCTTAAAAGTGCAAACGCCTCAGGGTTCCAAAAAAAACGGTCATCGCGACTCTCTTTTGAAAAAAGTGTGATCGGAAAACTCTTGGTGTCTCCTCATTCTCGTCAAAGGCAGAATGTTGGGACACTTCGGACGCCTGGGACAGGTGGGACATGTTTTCAAAGTGTGATTGGAAAACTCTTGGTGTCTCCTCATTCTCGTCAAAGGCAGAACGTTGGGACACTTCGGACGCCTGGGACAGGTGGGACACGTTTTCAAAGTGTGATCGGAAAGCTCTTGGTGTCTCCTCATTCTCGTCAAAGGCAGAATGTTGGGACACTTCGGACGCCTGGGACAGGTGGGACATGTTTTCTTTTCCTGGCTCAGAATTGAACGGCCATTCAAGAACGGCGGGTTCTAGTGAGCTCGAAAGTGCAAAAACTCCTCAGGGTTCCACACGGTCATTGTGACTCTGTACTCCTGCTGAAGGAACCTTAGTGGGACTTCAAGGGTGAGTGTTGTAGACGCGGCTGCAATGAGCAGAATTCAGAGTGAGCAGTGAGCACAATTCAGACTTGGGCGGTGACTGTAGAATCGTTCGCTTAGAGGATTGTCCCATGCTTACTTGAAGTAGTACCCTGGCCGAAGTTCGTTTCCGTTGAGTGTGCCCAAGATTTTGTTGTATGCCTTGTAGGTTGGCGGTATGCTCGAAGGCCTTCCGCCGCGTTCGGACACAACTGAACACAACCCCTCCCCCACAACACACCCCCTCAATACTGGACATGTCGCAGCTCACCAAATCGATGTACAAACTTCCGAGGGCGATATCCGGCAGGCAAGTTCTCTTCCTGGACTTGAGCAGGCGTGGAAGATTTGTGGACTTCGTGTGCACATCCTATCCGAGAGTTTTTCCATGATTTGTGCGGCGTGTCTTCTCGTCGTCATTGTCGAATCCTGAATTTGGGACACTTTGGACGCCTGGGACACGTGGGACATTTTTGTTTTGGGCTTGATTTTCTGTCTCAAGACAAAAGGAAATCAAGTCCAAAAGCTTAGAATCAATGGCTGTGGAAGCTGTTCCACCTTCCATAAAGTTGAACGGTCATTCAATAATGGACAGTTCGCTCAAGCTTGAGTGTGTAGAATGTGTTTATTGTTCCACACTGTCATTGTGACTCCCTCTTGCACAAAGCCCGATCAAAACTTTAGTACACCTAGGACACCTGGGACGTCTCAGGGCAGGTTCTGTTGGCATGCTCATATCTTGTCGGGACATGGGGGGCGACAAACACGCTTCTGACACGTTTGTCCTTTGAAGAGTTTGTTCAGAATATGGGAGACGCATTCCAGTTTTCTTCTTGAGACCGGCAGAACACATGAGACCATGTAGGACAGAACCTCTCGTTCACTTGACAGCCACGATTCGAAAGACTTCTGTCTCAACCATGCTTGAACGCAAGTGTTCTTAGCGCCCTCATGTTCTGAATTTCTCTACCGCTTCTGAATTGACGGTCCATGGGTTTTTGATCTCATGTGCTTGAAAATATGTGGGACACTTCAAATTTCGAAATAGAACAGTGGTTATTTCTTGAAATACTTAGAATGAGCATTACTTCTTGGTAAAGCCAAGAGGAAAGAAGCTACATTTGATGATTTTTATGTCTGCAGGTTTCAGGCGCAAGTAAAGAGCCCAGAGTATCCGCATCCGGCACAAGTCTTCCCCCGCTTCCACTTGAGGTAGGTTGGATCTGAACAGTGATTGCACACTGTCGATGAGCCGCAGCCAGTCAAGATTTGCAAAAGCATTCCTGGTCAGATCATCTTGCCCACAAAGCGCCGGCAGGTCAAGAGAGTGTTGCCAGAATTGGCAGTACTAAAACCTCTTTGCCTCCAGATTTTGCAGTTACAACTGGAAAAAGTTGTGAAAATAGATCTGTCGGTTTGTAGCAAACTCTTGTTTGTAACTATTTGCATTGCAAATGTAGAGGGATTACTTCCCCTCAGTCGTGAAGATCGTAAAAAACATTAGGTAGCAGTTGTCAGTGATTTCTTGATTGTAAGTTTCGGATTTCGCAGTCCGAACTTTTTGTTCAATCTGAAAAAAGTGATGACAATCGATCTGCATACTCGTTTACAATGAAAAAAGAAGGGGTGTACTTTTTGCAAGACCTTGAATGGGCGCCTGCGATGTATAGTTGTCAGCAACAACTTTGCATATCGAAGCGGGCGAAAACAAAAAAAACATTGCCGTCGTTGTAGATTGATCCGAAGCGTCCCTGGTGTTCCAAGTGTCCTATTGTGTCTTTAGTTGTTGCTCTTTCAATTCTCTGGATATTGGGCATTCTTTGATGATTTAAAAGAGTTAGGACAATTAGCTTCAGTGAGAGTGGGGCTTGGATCCCCTCTTGCTCCCCTTTTCAAATTACTAAGACAGTCTTTTGTTGTGGTACAGGAAGCCGCGCCCCTGCTCATTGAGTCTGGATACGCAGTGTTCACGGCTCGCCTGGAGACATACCGAACCGAGAAGGGCGAAGAGAAGAAGAGGTTTTTGCCATCGGTCTCAAGCTGGCAGACGCTGACGCCGGAGAACAGCAAGGAGTACCTAGCAACCGGGCCTTCCAAGAATGCTTTGAGCATCAACTGTGGAAACTCGGATGTCGTCGTGGTCGACATCGACCTGAAAGGAGGGGGGATGGAGACGTGGCAACAGCTAGAGAGAGTGCACGGCGTATCTAGCGGCTTTCGATGCGAGACCGGGACGAAAGGGCTTCACCTCTTCTTCAAGCTGAGCAGCTCGGTGGCAGTGGGGTTGGAATCGGGCAGCGAGAGGCCGACCACATGGGCCGGTCTGGAGGTGGGTGGGAAGAAAGTCGGCATCGACATGCGGCGGCGTCGGAGGTTGTGTCATAGTTGCACCTTCCGCCTACACCGACCTCAGTGGCACTCGGCGAGAGTACAAGTGCCTGAGCGGACCAAGTTTGCCGCCCGTTCACGACCTCCCTCCGATGGACGAGTGGCTCATCAAGCTGGTCAACAGGCGCAATACTCCCAGGAGCGTTCGCCCTCCAAGCCTCGTCCTTCCTGCAAGCCCTGCTACCAGCGTCCCCGCTGCTGCGACGGCTCTTTATGCCCCTGAGCTTATGGACGAGGACTTGCTGAAGCGAGTTGTCGCAGCCCAGCGCGAGATGCTGACGACCTGGGGGGACAGCACGTCGACTTTCTCCAAGGCCACGATCTCTCGCGACGGCACAGGCGTGATGTACGACTACAAGACTGGCCCAGGGGGGCGCCGCTGCCCGTACCTCAACCAGTGCGATGCCCCTCATGTCAGCAACCACTTCGGCCTGCTGCGAAGGGGCCTGTCAAACACCTACTACTGCTACAGCTCGGAGTGTGCCGATCGTCACAAACAGGGGGGGACGAGGAAGGACATCGGCAAGCTCGACTTCCCTCTTGCAGCCGCCTTTTCGGATGCACGTCCCCTGCACGCGGATCGCTCGGAGCTGTACCGGGACCGCACTCTACTGCCGCACAACTTCCTGAGAAGGAACCTCAGCACCCTAGCAGGTAAGCACCCAACACTTTGTGCATGATTCGGCCTCGTTTTGAAGAGGGATCAACAAGTAGACTTTTTGCCGTGTGGATGTGGGGGTCCGTTGGATTCTAGACGCTCTGATCTGTGTTTGATTATGAGTACGCTCCATGCACATTCAGCTTGAGGCATCTCTTTCAAAGCCTTTGACATGGAGAAAACAACTTTCTCATTGTGCTTGGATGAGATGGGGACATCCAGGAGTGTGCTACAAAGGGCAACGCATTATATACGATGAAGCGGTGCTTGAAGAAGAGTTCTGATTTCACAAGGATAATATTACGAAGTTTTGTGACAACCTCTTAGGACACATTGAAGTGGCAGATCAATTGCGAAGTACGTTATGACAACCAAAGCGTTCGAGTATTTTGATGAGTATCTTAGGAGCAAGGGGAATTGGGTTCGATCCTATTTCCCCATCGGATAAA